TTTTCTGTTCCTTTTTTTTTTCTCTTTTGTGGGGTAACCACCACCACCTTTATTCATCTTCATACAATCAAGACAGTTTGATATTTCTCCATTTTTCTGGGTTTTCGTTTTTATGTTCTTACACACTTTTTTTTAAAGCTTACATTCTTTTTGTTTAAGCGTATCTTAGGATAATAACGTACTCATTTCTATAAAATAGTTGAATACATAAAAATATGAAATAAAATTTTATATAAAAATTATATAAATAAATGGTTTTTGCATATCACTCATCATTGAATATTACTGCGTTATATCTGTATAAGATATAATTATGTCAGTACCCTTTGTTTTTGTTTTTGTTTTTTGTTTTTGTTTTATAATAAAATTATTTATACCGGTATACGTATATTGACAATGACACCAATGTTGAAACACAGTACGACTGTATAATTAATAATTATAAAAAACCTAATGTATCCATAGATTTTAAAATTGACTCAGAATACAGCCCGCGGATTTGTACAAGTCGGCTTTTTTAATTCAGTTTTTATTTTATAAATCGAATAAGTAGCAATCGTATATAATTTGTTTTTTAAGTCACACTCACATCCCAACAGGAGCTCTTTTAAAGAACTTTTACTATTCCCTATTTTTTTTAATATTCTATCAATTTGTTTCCATAATATATTGTTACGTGGACATTCAAAAAACATATGTTTCTCATCTTATATGGCATCACAATTATTATATTTGCATGTACTTTTAAGATTCAATCTATATAAGCATTGGATAGGGACAATCCGATTCAATAACTTATAATTTAATTGTGCATATTTTTTATTTTTTTCATTTTTTACTTTGTGTCTCCAAACCTTGGTCCATTGTATTTTATCATCGAACACACCCTCCCAGTATGCTCTGAGGTGGACTAATCAATTTATTGAAAAAAATTAAATAAATGTTTTTCGTATTCATCCTTGCTATTTTGTCTTGCTTGTTTTGCTTTATATTTATTTTATTTTATTTTTTTGTTTATTGATTATTTCATTAGGGCTAACTTAATGTCTGTCTCTTATACACATCTAGATGTGTATAAGAGACAGCACTGGTGCTGGGAACAGTCACAAAAGTGTGGGGGGGGGGGTTTTGCAGGCCCCCCCAGTATAAAAAGTGGGTGGGCCAATGGCCCCCTGCCCCTCCGCTTCCACCGCCGTTGCAAGATCTCGGTCTAAATTCGTAACAGAGGCCTATTTAGTAAATATTATAATTACTGTATTAAGCTAAACAGATTTTTTTTTAACTGAATTTCAAAAGAAACTCACATACTGTTTCTGTTGTGTGGTGTTAAAATAAAATGAAATAATATACACTAAAGTCTATAAACGATTAATTTATAATGAATCCAATATCATTGAACTTTTAATAACAGATCGAATCGAATTTATATAAGTATTACAAAATTTATTTATATAGGCCTATATTTACAGCATTACCTCAAGACGATTTAGAGTTTGTCTCTATATCGTGACTTATTGTAAAAAGTCTCTTTGGAGATCTCGCCTTGTCAAATGTTTACCGACATTATAAAAAGAGGGCGTATCATTGTTCTCTGTTATTTGTCATACACCAAGGAAATAGTGTTGTCTAACCAGGGAACAGCGAAATTACAATTAATTCCATTGTTCCCTGGTCTAACTATGCATGCGCATGTGTGTGAAGATTTAGATGCTTTAATCGGATTCGAATTTTCTTACTAAAATTAAAAAGAAAAAAATTTAATCCTGGGCTACAGTACTAAAAGTTTATAATAAATGAGAAACAGATAATATTACATAACGATTGCGATAATCGTTAAAAATTGTACTTGTACTTTAAAATGTTTTCTATACGTTCTTCTTGATCTTTGCATTTTAGGCCTATGTTTTTTATAAATTACCTAATTATATATTATCTTTTTAATGTTTTGGTTTTAAATTGTAAAACTGTAGCAATTGTGTGAATAAAAACAATCCTTATTGAATGAATGAATTCCTCTGTCGTCAGAGGTGACACATTGATATTAATATTCTCCACCGCAAGTTTTTGGGTAGAGTACGGTATGGTATAACATCGTGAAACACGTATGTGCACGTCCCCAAAGGGAAGTGATGTAACTTTCCATGTGAAAAGTCTGTTCTATTGTGCAATTATTTTATGATTATAATTTTTTTAATCAAATTGCACTTTGATTTTTTTTGTGGGGGGGGGGGGGTTGCGGGGATTTTAACTGAGTTACCACAACTTCAGAGCCATATTATATTAAGAGTTGCGACTCCGCTCCGCGCCGGGTTTGCGAAAGTTACGTGGTATACCGTCCATTTTTGTGTCCAAATCTTCCCGATGAACACATGCAAAGTATACGAGTTAGGTACATTACACAATATTTTCACATGTTTAATTGTGTTTATGATGTTATTACTTAATTGATAACTATTTGATATCAAAAGCTCTATTTATGGATCATTGAAATCGGTGAAGCCGGCCAAGGCTAAAAGTAATGATACTGGCTCAGTGTTCAATATTGGTCTGCCTGTACTGATTCTGATAAATTAGGCAGATAATGTTACAGAATTAACAAGACCAATGAATTCAGAAGACAAAGGATTGGCCTTTACTTTTTTTTAAATAATTATCTGACAGAGATAATTTGGTGTAGGCCTACTCTCTATGGCTCTTCACAACAGCGCCCTCATTCCTACTAACTGGAATGTAAACCAGCATGAAGGGTTAAGATTCACTGTTTGCCAAAAAATCGGGGAAAAAACTCAAGATTGAACAGCTCATTTAAAAGGATCAAATAAGTTATTAACTCTCAAAAAGCAACAGATCGAACAAAATATTTTTTTTTATAGATTAACTGACATCATTTACTACAAAAATCCTTAATTTATTACCAGCTAATTTAAGATCTATAGGCCCTATGTAAAGCAGCCACTAAGAATCTTGTTCATGCTTTGATAATCTCTAAACTCGATTATACTGCATTGTCTTTAGCACCAAATTGGTTTGCCTTGTATAAAATTAAAACTGCAACTTAACTATGATATCTGGTACGGTATTCAAACTAGAAGACATCAGTCTCACACTTAAGAACTGCACTGGCTTCCACTCATGAGCGAATTATTATTTGAAAGTGCACCATTATATTCGAGTCCTTGCACCATTCCACTATTCATTAGATCATCTGAGAACTCTTCACATCCGTTTAGCATGCAAAATGTAAAAGGACGTTAAGGTCCACTACATTTTAAACCCTTTATGTGCCCACTTATGGGGAGGCCATTTTCGGTTGTTGGCCCACCTCTTGAATTCACCACACACTCTTAAAGAGTCTCCTAATTTAATGATTTTTAAAGTGCTGTCTTAAATAAATCTTATTCGACCAATCTCTAATTTTCCTCCACTCTCTTGTTTTTATGGGTTTTCACTTTTATTTATTTCTGTATTTTTTTATACAACTTTCTTTTCCGTTTCCACCATTTATGGTTCTGTTCTTTTCTGTTGTCCTGAAAAGCGCAGACAGTGGTATACACACCCTGCGCTATACAAGTGCACAATCATAGACAATTGACCCTTGTAAATTCCACCAAAAGCAGCACAAAATTGCGTGTAGCTTTTTTTACTCCCCTTTTGTTTATATCATCCATGCTGTTTTATACAGTGGTACACACGCCCTAGTGCACCTTTCATGAATGCGGCGCGCCTGCCCTAGAATAATGCTGCTCTATCACAAGCTATAAGCACTGCAACACCAGCGAGTAATAAGGGGAGTAAGCCTATGCCTCCCCTATTTTTTGCTCAAAAAATTATTTCTATTTTCTTACTTAGGCCTACCTAACCACTTAAACCCGTTGACAAATTGTATTACACTTGGAATTATAATCACATTTGCATACATTGATTACCGTAAGCACCCACGGTGTTCAAGTTTTTTTTTTTTTTTTTTTCCTACCTAAAACCCACAAAATCAATGCACAGAGGCCGCTTTTCATTGTCCTCTCCAGCCTTGGCAAAGGACATTCTACCAAGAGTTTCACTAAGCTTTGGATATATTCACAAACTGCTGTAACACAAAAATAACCCTTTTTTTTTAATCTTCTGCGATTACTTACTTTCAATTTTCATTATAATACCGTCGTAGCATGTGGTAGAAATTTATTAATTTATGGCTGCAAAACGTAGCGGTCAGTCGTTACTTAAAGCATCCTTTTTAGCTAAAGTAGGTAGGTCATAATTAGTGTAGCACAACGTTTTCTTGTAAAACTTACTAGAAAATTACCATATATCCACCCTACAAGAGGGTATTAAAATACCTATAGCAAAATACCACCGCCGCTTATTTTGGTAATATAAATAACATTGATATTCCATGGAGGAACCATGGGTATAGAATGGATATACCAAGACAGCATTTTGTTGAGCTATATTAAGCAATAACATGTAATTTAAATTTTTCAAATTTAAATTAAAAATGTTTTCCTCGCCAACAGTTTGGGGTTGATAAAATCTGAAGTGTTAATCATAAGCTTATCTAATGAGGTAAAATCGAATTAAACTTACGATACGATACGATACTACTTTATTGCAATTTGATCATATAATACAAATTGAAGTTGAACAAGTAAAAATTACAAAAAAAAAGAATCAATCAATAACTTTCTTATCCTTACAATAATTAAATATGTTATTCCTTCCTTACATTAAATAACTTTCTGAGGGGTTCCACATTTTTACCTTTCACATGTTTATACTGTATCAAAATTAGGCCTATAAAGACAAACCCTGATGTGGAATATCGGTATATAATCCTACAGACACCTACGTGTGGTTAATGGTTTTATCATAACAATTGAAATTGTTCCGGATCGTCGACATATCCGGTGAATTTAGGTACTCCCTCACAACAAAACTCGCTTATGATTGGCGAAATATGTAACGCTCCAGTGAGCAAATGACAAACCCACGTTCCTTCGTGATTACGTGTCTGGATCAATTGGCCGATATCAGTGAATGATGTCACTTTAGTCACTTCGTGTATTTTCCTCATTTCAGTATAGATCGTAATAGAGAAGCAGACGCAACAACCAACCCTTCCTTGTCGGAATCATTCAGAGCGTCCTGATTTTGGTGACATGAATAACCTGAAATGTGTTGTCATAGGCGACGGAGGGGTCGGGAAAACTTGTATGTTGATAAGCTACGCCACCAGCAGATTTCCTCGGAATCACATACCCACTGTCTTCGATAATTATTCAGGTATGTTGAGTACATCATGTTTTATATACTGTTATCAGATATCCTAGGATCTGTGATATAGGCCTAATTGAAAAGTACTGTACTGTATAATCATTCTATTCAACGTCATAATAGGTCATTTCGATCAATGTATATTTTTATTTAATACTATTTCTTATGTAAAACACATCTGATATAGACCAAGATAGAGAAACTATCAAGCAAACACAAAAAAAAGTTGTTACTGTCCTACATTCGTAATTTATGAACTAATAACGTTAACAGAACTTTGCAGCAACGACAACGTTAATTTAGTTAGAAATTAAGTTATAAATACGTATTCTACAAAAAAAAGTTTTGAATACCAGACTGCAACGTTATTTTAACATGAGTTATAGTAACATTTTGCTTAAGCTGCCCCTGACCATAATTTTTGTTGTACTGTACCTTTTGTAAATGTGTATTGGTCGAATAAATAAATGAAATGAAATAATTGTTAGCTGGATATAACTTCCTTATTGTTAAAATATTGTACTATGTGTTCAGTAAGTTCACTCATGGTGCAATTTTGTTAATATTGCATAAAATTCATCTTGTGTATTATTATCTTTCATTTCAGTTAATGTGTCAATAAATAATGTTATTTATAACCTTGGTCTGTTCGATACGGCTGGACAAGAGGAGTACGATCGTCTGCGCATATTGGCCTACCCGTTGACTGATGTATTTCTTGTTTGCTTCTCGGTGGTGGAGCCGGACTCGTTTGAAAATGTCAAAGACTTGTGGGTGAAAGAACTAAAAGAAAATAACCCAGATACACCATTTTTACTGGTGGGAACTCAGAGTGATCTACGGGATGACGGGTTGACGCAATCGCGTCTTCAACGCCAAAACAAAAAGATGGTTTCAGTAGAGGCAGCGGAAAAATTGGCAGAGAAAATAGGAGCTGAGTGTTACGTCGAGTGCTCGGCACTGACACAGAAAGGATTGAAGGATGTTTACGCGGAAGCTATGCTATCAATTTTCGCCCCAAGAAAGAAACTAAAAACGCACTGGTACAGTCGTTTCATCAAGAAGCCAGCGTGTATATCAGCGTAATATGACGACATTTGCTTTTATTCTTGGTAGGCCTACATCGATCAAGAGGAAGTGTAGTGTTGTATAACTAGAGACTCACACAGTGAAGATATTTTTGATAAACATAATTATCACAGTTTGTTGTTATTGGAAAGTACAAAAACGAATTCCTTACATTCCGAACCGTTCTCCTCTTGACCGGAAAACGATTGAGAATACAAAACGAGAAGAGATATCAAGCTTAGCATGAGCTTAGTATCTAGAGTAACTTGTATCAATTGTTATAAATTGCCATAAGTGCGTTCTCAGACTATTGTTTACGTGTCGCCAGTATACGCATGATTTATCCATATAAATTGTGAATAATTACGATTGTATTTGTTAGTAAACTAATATTCGAATCGCCAGACCTAAAAAAAAGACAATCGTTTATATGGCAATGTTAGTACACTCGTGCCATTATATTTTATCAAGAGTCGGCGTGCTTTGTGCAATAAACCTGTCATTATTTTGTGAAAACGTAACTGTACTGCACTGTACTGCAAATTCAGCATGAAATCTCATCAGGAGTAACTTCCTATTCTTAAGGGGAAATAATTTTTTTTATTAGATTTTCACTCCCGCCCGCGTCAAAAAAATTCAGGAGATATTGATGCGGGAATGAAAAAAAAAATTGCCGCATCAATTATTTCAACAGCATAAAATTAACAATGCAATTTTGTGACTTCAAATATATTTTCTTAAAAAAAAAAATTTAAAAAAATTAAACCACGTTTCATACAATATTTACTATTACTAGCCAAATCGATAAAAACAGAAGCGAAAAAATCTCCCTCATCTATTTTTTTTTAAGAGTGATAATCTAATAATTTTTTCTATGTTCCCTAAACATAACAATTCATAAAAAAAACTACTGGGCTGTAATATGATAGTTTGCAAGAGTAGATGTGTATAAGAGACCTGATTGCCACTTACCGTACTGTGAGCCAGGCCCTACTTAACCACTTACCCTGTTTAATAGGGGTGGGGTGGCTGAATAACATTTACCGTATACTGCAAGCCGTAGGCCCTACTATCACCTACACTGTTGAATGATGTTATTCACTTCATATTTTGTGTTCATGTATTTAGTGTAATTATTACCATTTATATTTATCACAGAAATAAATATTAATAATAGGCCTTTTGAGGCTATCGATTTTTATCAGTTATCTGGTCGAGTGTGAGTTGTGTTATAATGGTGTTACTGTATGCCTAATATGTGTATTGTGTTAATTTTTTCACTGGATACTACGTAAATTTTATATTTTCGTTGTCCTTCATAGATACCATGATATATTTTGAAAATATGAGATCGTCAAACAGATTATAGGACTTATAGTGGCAGCAATTAGACGCGTTGTGTAGTCGTGCGTGACCGCCACTCGCCGCCGCGCTTCGTAAAAGCAAAGCCAGCCACTCAGATGTAAACCTGCTTTGAATATGCACTTGTTGAGGACATACACTTCTTTATAACATATAATATATTATAATAGCACATTTCATAACAACACTGAGGCTAAAATTGCTAATAAGAACAAATTGAGGCTAAAGGGGTAAAAATGTCAAATGAGGTTTTTTTTTTTTTTTTTTAATAGAAAAACAAATCTACATTATTTGCAATGGTGTGACTATACCCTCCTTAATACATTACATTAATATACTGCTGTAAAATAATTTTCTATGTTTGTAATTTTCTAAGTATGTAAAAATGTTTTTTACATACCGTACTTCTTAAACATAGACAATTAATATACTGCTGTAAAATAATTTTCTATGTTTGAGAAGTATGTAAACAACATTTCGAGTCTGAAATCGGCAAAATTTAACGGCTTCTTATATATATATTTTTTTTTTAAAGTGTAAATTTCTTGATTTATATAGGCCTATTTCCGTAAGTTCTCGCTTTCAACTAAAAATTGAATGAGATCTCTCGCCAATAATAAACGCTTTACATAATACCATTCCTATATTATATTTGCATATACAGTATGTAAATTGTGCAATTCCTTTAGGCAAAACCAGTTACTGCTTGGGCATCCGTATGTTATGTTGTTATAAAATAATATTTATGTACCTACGACAGTAACAATATAAAATGAATTACAGCAATATGTCTAATATGATTTTGTTTTATAAAACAGAAATCATTTCTGCTCTGTTGACAATTTGCAAAATGTTTTGAGGAAATTGTATGATGAGTCACATTGATTAACAAGAGTTTTTTTTTACTTTACATTCATACATAGTTCTTCATTACTAAGACGAAAAAAATATCGTACGACCATAAGCTGTATTTGATTTCGGGTAAATGAAATTGACATACCTATCTAGAATTTCGTTAAACAGGCCTATTGTGAAAAGCAGGCCTATCCCAACGTTCAAGGTCAAATTTGATCAAATAACAATTAACTAAATACGAACTAAATATGGGTAAAATGAAAATAATACAAGAGATCATGGATAACCTGCCAGCATGATAACAATTATTTGCGCAGTCCTCGTATCACCATGGAAACGACCCAATTTAATGTCATTCAATAAGAACCGCCACTGAATCCCGAAAACTTGCCGGTTTGGCGTGACACCGGAATCCTGTCGCCAACAAGACCGTATCATCATCATATGTCGTGAAGGGTCAGCCAACCCGAACACAGGGATAGAGCATAAAGCTAAGTATTTATACAGTAAAAATGATAAAGCATATTTTAATCATGAACGTTTAATAAAAAAAAAAGAAATAGTAAAACATGTAAAACTCTCATTACATAAATTATAAACAGTATAAGATACATATAGATAATACTGTGTATATAAGTCCTTTATTATAATGATAGGTGTAACTATTAAATTAATCTAGTGAGGGCATAAACAATATCTCGATCAATGTAGTGAGTGACTCTGACAGAGAGGTTGTAGCAGTGTGACCACTGTCTGCTTGGGTTTTATCACAAGATTTTGGGATTTTTAATGATACCTTGGGATCTTGGGATTTTTTGTTAACTTTTCATTAAATCTTGGTATGTTTTGAATGATATGGAATTTTTGTTTCTATCATGAAGACAATTTAAAAATAAATTCTAATAGCCAAACACCCCTTTAGTTTACAATCGTGGATGAGGGCTGCTCATTGTTCAAAATAAAAGACCCCTTGGAGACTTAGTAGGCCTAGTTATTTTTTTTTTTCAATTCTTCTGATAAGGCTGTTTTTTAGAGACATTCTCATCCTTTTCCAAAATAGTATAGGCTAAATTTTAAAGTTAAATCTCTTATGTCCCATTGGCAGAATGACGTTTGCTTCAGACAACAAGTACGTAGTGCTAAAAAAAGCTGAGCAAGAATATTGATGCCCAGGAAATAATCGCACCTTCTCATATTTTGTAAATGCTTTCACTGTGTCTTAATTTGACAGGAGTTAAATCAGATTCATCAAAAATACTTACCGGTACTCTTAACAGCTTACACCCCACAAAAATAGAAGTTAAAAAGCAATGCTTTTCTTCTATTCATATCATGCTTAACTGGAAATTTAAAAGCATCTTCGACCCCCCCCCCTCCCCTTCCCAAAT